TAATGAAGTTAAGAGTAGCCAGATAAAAGACTTGAAAGGAAATGTCAAAGAGCTTTCTGTGCTTTCAGAGCTAACTTTCTTTACTGTTACCTGAGTTACTTCAAAACAAACACGGGAACATGAACAATTAGGGCTGTTGTGCCCTGTTGAGGACTTGGGTTCTCTTATGTCCATCCAGCAAATTTAAGTTATTCAAAAGTTCGATGTTCATGACATCATTTAAATGCTGTTGTAATCCTGGCAGTGAGGGAAAAGAGTTCTGCAAGAATTAAAAGATGTTCCACAGCTGTTGGCTGTGTTCTGGGGCACTCAATTTGTTATGGGAAGGAGCTTTTGTAAGTTGTTATGGCTCTTGTATATGTATATTTGCAAAACTGTAGAGCAAAATTATGGCTGGCACTGCATTGTACAGTAAGATGGAGAGATTCGGGGTGCTGCTCTCCTTCAGTCATGCGCTGCACATTCTTGTAATGATTTGGCTGTAGGAGATGTGTTTTGAGGCACGGTGTTCTCATGTAGGTTGTCACCACACTTCCTCCTGATGTGGTGTGTGTGAGTTACGGAATCACTGACCTGAAGATGGCATTAATAATGGCTTCTCTTTGCTGCATGACGCTTCTGTCATCTCGGTGCAGTAAGAAGTATAATTTTGCTCATAAAATATGGGCAAAATCAGGCAAAAGGATGCTAAAGCATCACATCAGTACAGGAAAAACTTGGATAACATCATTGCTTGATTTCTGACAGTAATATTAGGAATTGGCCTTCCAAGTATCCCTTGGACAGAGTGATGCTGGCCAAGAGCCAGATTCATTGTTATTGTGAAATACAGTAGTTTGTTTAGATGGTTGAGCATGGATTGAATTAATGAACCTAATGTGATCAGTATTTCAATCCAGGCTTGCCTTTCCAGTGTATCTTTTTGGAAGGATCTCAGTATATCCATATTTAAATTAATGGGGTTTGAGGTTGCCATATAAAAAGCACAGTAAACAGTTTGATGACTAATTATCTATTTTACAAGATATTCTTCATTCCATTAAGCCTCACAGTGGAATATGAGTCTAACTGAGCTTTTTGTTTAGTTTCTTGGAAAGTTTCAGAATGAATTTATGAAATAGATGTTTAATTGTAGAACATGCAATATCTGTAGAAGCCTTAACTGAAATGCCTTTGCGCATTTCCATACCATTGTTTTTAATGCATTTGTGTTAATGAAAAAATTATGGATATGTTGGTGCCAATTTCTTGTTTTTACATATATGAAACAATTAAACAATTGCTCTAAACTAGTTAAAAATGATTGTACTTTGTCCTGTTTCAAGTTGTTTAGTCTGTTTAAAATAAATCAGTCTAATTTTTCCCCAGTGCTAATATTTTGTATAAATGCAAGGTCTGAATTTTTGGTGTTTATGGGAAAACTTTTTCCCCCTTATTTATGGCAGTGTTGTAAAAAACAGTTTTGCTTTCCCTCCCATCACATTCCTGCTGCTGTAACAGCTACTACAGTGTGTTTAGCGTAAAAAGAGTAATATTAAGTGGGGAATCTTGATTGCTGTCTTTAACTACTTAAGAGATGATTACAAAGCAGACAGCTGCACGGTGAAAGGATGGGTGGAAGCCCTCACAGGCAGCATCAGGAAAATGTTCAGGAGTTTTGACTGAGGGCTTGGGATGGGGGCGGAGGGGCTGTGGGAACTCCATCCCTGGGGCTGCCCCAGGCTGGGGTGGACAAAGCCCTGTGCAGCCTCACCAGAGGAGGCCCTCCAAAGCTTAAGTGTTCTAATTTTGCTCCTTAAAAGACAGTTACTTAAAATTTGGTTAATTTCCACGTGGTTTAAATGTTACTCTCTCAACGCAGATTTCTCGATGGGCAGCCAGGTGGCGTTGATTTGCAAAGTGCGTTTTTTAAAGTAATTTTGGTATTGCTGAGGTAAACTTTAGGGGGGTTATGGTTAGGTCAGAATTATTCGCTTGCTTATTTGCAGCAGAATTAACTTAAATGACTGAAGGCTTTGGGAGATGAGAGAAAACCGTCAGGTACGTAACTACAGCTAAGCCTAAGCCTTACTTGCCTCCTCTTCCTCCTAGCAGTGTGAAAGGTGCTCTTGCATTCCTCAGTGCGGCAGTGCGTGAAATTGGTCCGTAAGTCCACAGACGGTTGCAGAAAGTCTGTGTTTTCCGTGGGTGCTGTTAATGCTCTGCGCTGCCGGTGCCCCCGCTCCGCCTCAGCCCTCAGCAGCGTTCCCGCCCTCCCCTCGCGCCGCCGGGGCGCGGCCGCCATGGCGGACGCGGCCTGAGGGAAGCGGCCCCCCCTGCAGGGGCTGCGACCCTGAGGGGAAACCCGGTCACGGAGACAGAGTTCCCCGGTGTTCTTACCCGCGAGCAAAACTGCTGACTTTAATAATTCCGGACTTTATGGGATCTTTTCTTCGAAAGTTGCAGAGTCCTCCCTCGCTCAGACCATTCCCTGTAGTTTTCCTGTACTGTGTAGAGTAAAACATGGGAACTAGAAAGATAAGTGATATCAGAACGTAGAATAAAATAAACTGTAGTAGATAAACTCAGCATTGACACTCTTGACCTATATGTTACATAAATTTTGACAAAACAGGAAAGCATATGCATCCTGCCAGCAATCCATTCTCTGCTATTGCAGATGGATTTCATGAAAGGGCAAATTAATTCCATTAATCTGTGGGTAAATCCAGTAGTAATGGTGTATTCTGTAGTCATATATAAAAATAAAACCACCACTCAATTTTTTCAGGAACTTCATGGGACTTTTGGGTGAGAAACATAGGATTTATAGAGTAGAATTAATTGTTTTCATTTGGGAATGATGGAGGTTTCTACAGGAACCTGTTTAAACCTAATATTCTTCATCCTGTCTCAAGTTTCTGGATAGGTTTAATTACGTTAAATACCAAATGTTATCCTGCTAGCGGTTTTTAGTAGACCACCTCAATTTTTCAGCACTTTCTTTTTAAATCTTTAAGTCTTTGCTTGCCTGTTACATCAAACTGGGTTCTTACTCATAGTCCTTTGAGGTCTTTCTAGCTCGATGTGTACTATTTCTGCATTTTAGTAGTTTTTCCTCATTCATACAGGATAGGAATGGCCATCGTCAGGACAGGTCATTACAGCCAGCTTAATTGCTTTAGAGGTTTATTAGACAGCCTAATATACTTTAGTAAAGCTACTTACTAGCATAAAAGGCAGGGTATGTTTAGGTGTCTGCCTCATGTCAGACATTCAGAACAATGGTTTGAAAATGCTTTCCCATGATTTTACCCATCCTTTAGGCTAAAAATGGCTTTGGTAGCACTTGAAGAAAAGAGGGGAGTAGGGAAAAGAGAGAGAGGTAAGGTAAAACTCAGTAATTTAAAAAATATATTTACTTCTGTTCATCAAGTGGAAGAAACAGCTCTCTCTCCAATGGGTATTTATTGCATTGAGACTTTTTAAAGTGAGTAGGTTGTGTAGCAGATCAGGTTGATTTGGAATAAGTCACATTTTTTTGTGGTGTTAATCCATTCAGTCATAAATTCACAAACTGCTGTGCTATCAGACCAAGACAGTGAGCCACTCAACACTACTGAGTGTATATTCATGACAATGTTAATTAAGTTTTCTATTATTACAGGTATTTCAATATTTTACATAGTGTTAAATGCTAGCATAAAGAAAGGTGGCAGCAAAAAAACCCACTTGTGTTGTTTTCACAAGTATTTCAAAAGGCTATAAACTTCTGTTTCATTGCCCAAGAGATTTTGCAAATGTGTTAGTTTTATAAGCCCCTTTGAAAATACGTCAGAGTCTAAATGTGAGATACTTGAAAATTTCAAGTCCAAGTATAGTTCTAGTTCATACACTCATAACACATCATTGGTGTGAGTAAACAAGAGCTCAAATAAATAAGTAAATAAATAAATAATTGGGCTTAAAATTATGTGAGCTTGGAATAGAAAGCTGGGCTCTTAACAATACAGATCATGAATCTCAGATTTTGAAAACATCAACTGTAGGCGAAACCTTCAGATTTTTCAGTAGAACTGTTTCCAAGATCATCTTTTTCAGTGGCAGGTAGCTGAAACCTTAACAACATGATTATACATATTTTTTAATGCTAATATTTATTTTGCATTATTCCTTAACAGAAAGTATCACAGTTAACAAGAAAAATCATATTAAACCTTTCAGCAAATACAACCCATGGACTAATATGTAGTATTTCTGGTTATTTTAAGAGCTACTAGAAGTCACAGTGCCTCTTAATTGCTTTTGTTTGAAAATACTGTAGTAGTTGACAAGCTGTAGTTCTAAGAGTAAAGCCTTGTGAGCTTTTTAACTTAATAAATTGTATTTCATTTTTTTCTTAAAAAGTTATGTCAGTACAGAATTGGAACAGCATTCAGAAATAAGTTTTTCATTTTTCTTCATAGACAGCAGCAAAGTAACTCCAATTGGAACACGATTGTTTAAATCACTTTGTACTGACATTATTAGAACCCAAGTTCATTTTTATAGAGTTGGGAGCACTGTTGTTTCAGAGAAGCTCACAAATGCTAGCCAGTTAAGCTGCCTGAAGTCTTTTACAGGTTTGGTTTTTTTTAAGAGTATTAATATTTATTCAGGGGTCTGTAATTAAAATATGTCCAACTTCATGTGTGTTCTCACTTATTTTACTTGGGTTTTATATGTACTGTTAGTCAAAAGTTACTTGTAGATGCTATCTAATGTATTTGACTTGCAACAGTCCAAATTTGTCATGCTTAAGAATTAAGAACATAGTGTTTACATGAAAATAGTATCTTCTCTCCAAGAGTACACAATTAAGTTATTAATATTTTTATGATCAGAGTAATTTTCTAGTTTAGGCAACCATTGTTTTACCTAATGATTGAAATAAATATGAAATTTCTTTCCTGCAGTAACGAGAGGCTATCTGTATGACTGGACTATGGTGAAAATGGAAGTAGAAGAATTACAGAAATAAATGGAGGCAGATAAGGTAAGTTTATTGACAGGTTTTTAATCTTAAGTTTCATGTGTTAGTTTTAGAAATATAGAGCTCTCTTCACAGCATAATGAGTAGACTCAAGTTATTTGTTATTACTTTTATGTTTGTTATTACTTTTATGTAGTCAATTAGAATGTTATGTCTCTCACATTTGCATATTGGTCATTTGGCCTTCAAGGCCTTGAGGCAAAGCTGGTGGCAAAACAGTGGTACAGACCAACTCACCTATGGAAGGCTTGGAGACTTAATGTGGAATGTTGTTTATGCTGAAAATCTAAAATATATCCATTCGATATCTATTTATGCTTTTTTACTACAGTCATAACTTCCGTCAGTAAAATACCGGTGGCTTTGGGACACAACCTTTGCTACAACATAATGAGAACATGCAGCTTTTTTAAAAAAAAGAAACCTGCTTTTGTTCAGTTTGAGTTGCCTGGTACAGTGTGAGAGATTAGAAGTTACTGAATTGTAGGAAAAAAAAGACAGCTTTTCATCTGACTTAGAACAGATAAATCATTAGGATCCTTGGGGATATTAGGTGCTTATTATGGCTGAATCTGTCCAAGGGAATTTAACTGTGCCTTGTAGAAGAGGCTTGTTTGCCAGCAGCAGTGCCAGTGAAGCTTAATGCATGTTGCCTGTTCTTCTAAGACAACAGTGTTAAGTTCTGGTAAATTCTGGTGCTGAACAGGAATACAGTATAAATAAAAATATGTACAGTAACTTTATTTGATTCTTCAAAATTAACCCGTACCTGATATAACTTGAGACTGACTTTGCATAGTAAGAAGTCCTCAGATTAACTGCTAAAATGACACAACAATAAATGGAGATGCAAAAGCACAGATTTGTACTAAGAATATAGACAAATGCAAGAACATGAGTCACACTTCCAAGCAGCTTAACTTCTTTGGGAAACATGCGGTATTAAAACTGCATAAAAAATGATGCATAGCTAACTTCTGGCAACTATGACAGCATGTCAAGTCAGAAAAAATGTCTTTTAGGAGACAAACATTTATTCACATAATCAACTAATTTGTACAGTCTCAAATTTCAGCTTGGAAGTGGAGGATTTCTGCTCGCTAAATGATTTGAGTCATAATGGAAAGACAAATAGATGGTTTAAGTAAGATCACAGACAATACCCAAGCCTGGATTCAGAAAGGCAAGTGGACTGCAGCAAGATGAGCTGAAAATACAGTACAGAGTAAGATTACAGCAGGAACTCTCTTGTTGAGAAATACTTTGAAAGAGGGAGGTTTGAAAGCATTCAGCCATTCTCTGTCTATGCAGTTCTCCTTACAGCCAGAGAGTGAGGCACGCTGCACTTCATGATGCCCACAGAGGGAGTTAATGACATTTGGCCACTTCAGGGCATGTTCAAGTATACCTTGTCTATTTTAACCATACAAACTAAAGCAGCAAATACAAATCACATTTTCCTTCTCTGAAGCACAGGAGAGGTATGATTGTTTGGTATTTATTTAGAATTCCCAGTCTGTATCATCTTGATTTGCAGTAATATGTCCAAGTCCAGTCCCAACTGCTGTTGAGGGCAGTGTCAAGAACTCTGATCTGTTATTTTGAATAGGAGGTGGCAATAGAGACAGTAGTGAATTCTGTGTTTGTTCTTTTATCTAGAAAGAAAAAAAGTTAAAACAGGGCTGCACATAAAAGTCTCCATAACCTTGCAAGTGACTTCATCAGAAGCATGTGAAATCAGAGCCATGTTTTTGCATGTTACAACACTGAACATAACAGGATGCAAGGTTTCACTTTCCTCACTCTAGAGTGAGTTGAATTAGTCTTTCAAGACAAATTAGCTTTGCAGTTCTGATTTAAATTAAGAATATTAACCATTATTCTTATCAGTTAGACTGACTTTAGTTAAACCAACGTTATCAAAGGGGAAATGGATTACTCTTATGCCTCCTATACTCTATCAATACCATTTTGTTAAAAAAAAAGAAGTCTGAAACAGGTATGCTGTTACAGGATGCTTTTTGGCTCCAGGTAACTTAATTATTTTGTAATCCAACTCTTTCTGTGGTTTATTTAGGTTATAGCTGTGTCATTTTACAAAATGTAGTAAACTCACCTGTTTGAAGAACGTATGCGAAAGCAAACTGCTTGCTGAAGGCCTGAATCATAAAATGAACAATATAATTAAGTTTTGGAAAGTAAAACACTGCTTTTGGGAAATGGGCCAGACTGACAAGTCAATTTAAACCCTGTGGTTTTTCATCCACAGGACAAATGTGAAGAATGAGAAAGGAAGTACATAAATCCTACATACTATGTCTCAATTTATAGTGAAAGCACTACTGAAGAAATCTATTTTTAAAGGCTTTTTCACATTTCTGTTTAACAAGGAATTTAATGCCTCATTCAAAAGAGACATAGGATTGAAAATGGATATTTCAGATTTCTGCTTTTTTTCTTAGACAAAGTGCGTGTTTGAAAATTAATTTTACATTTTAAAAAAAACGTTCATATTGCAAGAAATTCAGGGGTCAAATGACTTTAAAGCATGGTTCCTTTATCAGACAAGATAATTCTTAAATTACAAAACCAAACATAAGTGAATTGTTTTACACAGTACGTCTGGTCTGAAATTCTGACTTGAACAGCCTTGGTCTTAGATTGAAGTGACAAAATATTAGTTTTCACCAGAAGATTACCTTTTCTCAGGGTCCTGTTGCAAGCAAAGTTCTACCAAGTTGTGGAAAGCAGGTGAAAATGTTTTGGAAAAGGGAATTTGTAGTCTTTCACTGGTCATTGTGTGTGTCATGCTCTCACCAATTCCAGAATCAACCCCCGATCGGGAATTCTTCATCCTGGATTCCCCCCGGGGAAAGGTATTTATATCCCAAGGATAGTATGTGGGACCTTTCAGCTTTTGCAGCAGCATCTAGTAGGAAGGAATAGCAGTATGAGAGTTCAACAAGAGCTATTCAGGCTAAGCTGTAAAACTTCAGGAATGGAAGGGTTATTTGTTCTAGAAAGAAGCATGCAGAGTTGAAGTAAAAAAAAAGCAGCCACTACTTCAACAGTAATGGCATTGGTTTCTCTCAGTAAAGCCAAAAAAAGTGCTCAGCATGTTTTGAAGTAGAAATAAGAGTTTAGCGTCATACCTGAGTGCGAGGCATATCCTGAAATGGAACGTGTCCATTGGCTAATTCACAGGCTGTAATTCCCACACTGTAAATGTCAGACTTCATATTATACCCAGACAAATCCTGTGACAGAAAGAAACACTACTGATCACTGATGCCACTGAGTGGGGCCAACAAAAATACAAGTGTCTGTTTCAAGACAAGATTCTAATATCCTGTAATTTACACAGTGTCAAAACAATCAAATTGGGAAACGTCAGGCTTTGTTAGGAATCTGATGGCTGTAGTTTCCAGGAAGGTCAGGTAAAGAGACTTAGTACAGCATCACCTTTTTCAGCTTTAAAACTGGTTCTCTTTAGGAGAATTAAAAATTCAGTACATATTGTAGTTTTAAAGCTTTCAGATCAACATCTTCAACTGCACTTCTACAAACAGACTTAAGTTAGGAGTACTGCCACTAACGCTGAAGAGGAAAAATTAAGTGTTACACCAACCTGTCTCAGTAGTTCAGGACTCAGCCAAGGAAGCACGGATGTACTAAACTGGGGGAAATCATACACCACCTTTGACTTTTGCCCATTGTTAACTAAACTGTAGAGGTTGTTTAGACCAGAGAGAGAAACCAGCCCATCCTTTGAAATCAGAATGTGGCTAGCTTTAATATTCCTGTAACATAAATAAGAATTACTCAAAGCACTACTAGAGTACAAAGGCTTACATATCTCATAAACTTACAGTGAGATCTTACCATGCAGTTCTATTTAGCAGATTACTTTCATGGAAGTCCTTCACTCAGTATGAGTTGTCTTTTTAATACAGTCCCAAGAGAGAGGAGAGATGATCAGAAAAAAAAGCACCAGAAACTGGAGAAGGGCCTGCAAAGGGTGTAAACTAAGGAAGCCCATTCTACAACCCTGGTTCTGTTCTTGCTTCAAAGAGACAAAGCCAGGCAGATCTATTATCCCTGTAACAACTGGCTTGAAATAATGTATGAATACAGCTCCTCTTAAGCTTTTACAAACTTGGTTCTGCTGTATTGAAAAAAAAATACTTCTATGCTGTCTGACACAAGAAGGTGTATAGAAAAAGGAAGGAGACAATCCTTAAGCTGAGATGCTGTAATCTGATTCTTACCTATTATCATTTTCCTACCTGTGAATATATCCGTTCTGGTGCATGTAATTTAATCCTCTGATTGCACCAAACAGAATGTTCCCTATCAGAGCTTCACTCATTCCTTCAGGAAAGTAAGTCTTCAGCAGGTGTCCAGCTGAACCTGAAAGTGAAAAAAAAACTAGCTAAGCCTAACAAGTCTTGTTAAATTACTTGTCTATGCTTGCTTTATTACATACATTCATCAAGAGCGGCATTCTCATCTTTATATTGACCATGGTACATCAAGAACAGTTATTACATGGATGGAACTGATCCAGGCAAAGATCACACTCACATCATGCTTCTGTTAACTGAAAGTCTATGCCCAACCTGTATTCCATCTAGATAGGTTTTCTGTTGTCAAAAATCAGTTGCATAAAGTCAAATACATCTCCCAGTTACCATTCCTCTTATGGTGGGTGCTAGGACTAAGTGGAATTTAATGCAGTTTCAATACCAGTCTTCACTGGGGAGAAAGATTATGTACAGCAGTCTTCTCTAAACAAGTGGTTTGGGAAAGTGTTTTTTCTACAAGACAGGAGATTCTTAAAGAAAAACCTCTCCTGGACCATGTGGTCCAATTTGTACCAGCCCTTTTTCCTACTCCAGAATTGCAGTTAACAGTTCTTACCATAGGCCATGAATGGGGAGATGACCCAAAGCCAGCTACCAGCTGTAAATACTGTCCAAAACGTCATTATGTTGGGATGCTGGAAAAAGTGGGATAAAACCACCTCATTCTATGGAATTAAATGAAAGTGGATGTGTTAACCACAAGACAGCAGTCTTATGAAGAGCATTAACTACATCAGTAGAAAGAACAGTTTCCTGTGTGCGTTTATACAAGACTGTGGGTGATGTGCATAGCCTGCAACAGAAATGTGAGTAACTTGCCCATAGTTGCATTTGTCTGAAGTAAATCTAGTTTGTTCATAGTCCAGATTTTTGGTGTTAACTACAGAGTACAGAGCATGTTTCAAATAAGACGCTATACAATTACGGAAGTATTTCTAAAACACTTGTCAACTGTTTTCTTCAGAAAGCAACTCTCAAATTTACACATGCCTTGTGTTAATTATATTCTACCCCTTTGGAGTAAAATCTTGACTGAAATGACTCAGTACAAACAAAGGCTACCTCTGTTCAGTAACCTCATACGTATTCATCACTGTCTCCATCAGGTTTGTGCAGAAATGCTGTTGCTTTACCTGTAAGGCTTTCAAATGCTCTTCAGAGCAATTTTCTAGGTCTGTGATCCTTACAGCAACTTGCATGTCTGTAGGTGTATGCCGTGCAAGGTAGACTGAAGTTAAATTGTTGAACCTCCTTCCTGAAACCAGAAGTGGCTACCTTAACATTGGAAAATATAATGATCCATCACATCATTTCCTTCATAGAGATAATTTTCCAGTTCTAAAAATACAATTGATAGCAACATGACTTTTCTTTAAGAATGTCAAGAACTTCAGTAGTTGCAAAATTAATTGCAGCCAACTGAAGCATGCTGAAGCACGGCTCTGCTATTTTGAGAACAACTAGAAGTGTTTAAATATTTGTCAATATCACTTATACATCTAAATGACCAACACATGCATATTCACAGAAACATGTGCATGCACAATAGGATTCAAGGCAGTTTTCCTTAGAACAATCACCTTGGGTAGCCAAGTCTCACAAGACACGATGTACTTAATGCTGTATTATTGTCACATACCACAGATTTAGAAAACTGACATGCACATACACAAACATCAAGAGAAAATTTCAGGTAATTGTTGATTTGTCTTATATCTTGAAATAAGTGATTACTGAAACATGAGCAATGCTCTGGGCACTTTTTTTAACTAAGGATACAAAAGAATAGTTCTGTATTTTCCAAATTTAATATTTACTGTAGTGAGCAATAAACTATCGCTTAGCAGGAAGAAGAAACATTTTAAGGTACACTTATGTTACCTATTTCCAGCTGGAGTTCATAATGAGAGACATTAGAAGAGCAAAATACCATTTCATGCCTTCCTGTAGATGGGGGAATCCAGGCTAGATCAGAATCAGCCTGACAGTGAGAAAAAACAGTTCTCAAAATGACTATGCAATTTTTAATCATTTATGTTTAAAATTAATGCAGAAATACCATTAGTACTCAAATCAGAACATTCAAGTTGATGCTTTTACCATTACTGAGACTTAGTTTTATGAGTTACAGATTTTTTGTGCCCATGTTTGTTTTTAAACTGGCACAAGATTAGCACTAAGTTTCCTATGGTCTTCTTCCAAAGTGGAAGCCCTGAAGTACTTTGGTTATTTTTGCTGTTAACAGTTTAAGAAATACTCCCTAATGAGGTTATTTTTAATATGTACCAGCTCTGTATTTAACCTTGGCAGTTGAAGTTTCTTCTTACCAGGCATTCATGGATGCTGCTCTGAGATAGCTCTTCTGGTCTGATTGATTCAACGGGCGTACGTAGAATACAGGAACAGTCCTTGGGAACAGAAACAAGTGAATGTTTGTGAAGTTGCTGCAATTTATTAAACATGGTGAAAAAGTGGGAAAAGATAAAAAAGTAGCCCCTATAAGCAGGAGTTCAGAAAGTCTTCTGCTACAAGTCAGTCAAGCAAGAGGTTTAGGGACAGCATAAAGCACATACATGGTAGAAGAGGAGTTACTAAACAGTTTCCTTCACTGAAAGCTGATACAGCAAAGTTTAAACATCTCAGCACTGTGGAAATCCCCTCAACCAAGACATTTCACCAGAACTTATCATAGTAAGCTATAACTGGGTAACAAGGTACAACAGCCACAATTTTTAAAGACAAACTTACCAAACAAGACATGGAACCGCTTTAAGATCAGGGGAAAAGTCATATACATCCATTTAGCCTAAAAAGAATAAAGTAGCAATGTAAGATAATACATAAACCAGTGATAAACATAAATCTCCTTAATTACAACTGCGAGGCATTCCTGTCACTTAACACCCACACAAACCCCCAGAACTCCAGCTCTCGGAAAACCTGCTTCTAAAGTGCCTTCAAGCAGCATATCTATTTCAAACTCCCCACTGATGACTACACATGTCAACTCAAGGTTTCCCTTTTAATTTATGGGTTTAGAAATTTTATTGCCACCTCTGAACAAACAATTTAATTGTAAGTTAACTGACCAAGTGCAGAAAGTAAAAAAGAATGGATTCATTAATCCCTGGCAGTTTGTAGGAAAAGAAACCAGTCTCATTTTAAAGGCACAGAGCTGTGCTAGTCAGATCTCAGCTCTGTGCAGCTGAACTAGCTCACAAAAAAAGCAAGGCAGAAGCAATTGCAGTTCACATTTCACAAGTGAGAGAGGAAATACTACTGTAAGGGATTTCAGTTAAAAAAAAAAAAAAAAAAAGGAGGGGAAGCAACTCCAATAGTTGCCACTTTACTTAGGCAAACTCCCTCACAGATTCCAGTAGCCACTCTAAAAGTCCTCCAACTGACTTATTTATGTCTGATGCTCTGAAAGCTTAGGCAGTGAGAGAGATGTCTAAGAAGTGTATCCAAGCTAATTTACTTTAGCTATAAGCAAGTCTTCAACAGTAAAATCACTGAAGTTTGAAAAGACCTCAAAGATCAGAGTCCAATCATTAACCCAACAAGGCCAGGCCCACCACTAAACCATGTCCCCAAGCACCACATCTACATGTTTTTTAACGCTACCAGGGACGATGACTCTACCACTTCCCTGGACAGCCTGTTCCAATGCTTGACAATCCTTTCAGTGAAGAAAACTTTCCTAAGATCCATCTAAACCTCCCCTGGTGCAACTTGAGGCTATTTACTGTCATTCTATCACTTGTTAGCTGGGGGAAGAGGCCAACTCCCACCTCGCTATAACCTCCTTCCAGGTAGTTTTAGAGTGAGAAGGCCCTCCCCGAGCTTCCTCTTCTCCAGGCTAAACAAATCCAACTCCTTCAGCTACTCCTTATAATACCTGTGCTCCAGACCCTTCACCAGCTCTGTTGCCCTTCTCTGGACACCCTCCAGTGCCTCAACGTCTTTCTTCTTGTTAGGGGCTCAAAACTGAACACAGTACTTGAGATGCGGCCTCACCTGACTGGTGCCAAGTACAGAGGGACAGTCACTTCCCTGCTCTTGCTCCCGGACTGATACTGCTGACACAAGCCAGGATACCATTGGCCTTGGCCATGTGGGCACACTGCTGGCTCATATTCAGCCAGCTGTCAAATAGCACCCCAGGTCCTTTTCTGACAGGCAGCTTTCCAGCCCCCAGTAGGAATCGTACTTGGTGGCTGATAAAAAGTCAGCTGTAAGACGTAGTTCCATGTTAACATGCAATTTTTGCATGGCGGTTAACTTTAAAAAGGTGAAGTCCTATGTATATGATATCAGAAATGATCATTCAGTTTATTAAGGAGCTAAGCTTGAGTATAGCCCGCATTTAAATTATGTATGCTACTTAATCAAGGCAACACTCTTGAAAAACTGACAAGCCCCCACTCTATTCAGTGCCAAATATCCAAGCCACTCATAATCCTTAATATTTTTGCCCCAAAAATTTGCTTGAAGAAATACTGTAATTCCTTATTAAATATTCCAAATGGAGACGAAAGGAGATCCTTAGTAGGTACTGGGTACCTTCAGAGGATCAGGGTTTAGCTTGCCCAACTTCACTGAGGAAGCCTGTAGCAGAGTGAAAAAAAAAAGAATTCAGTTGCTTCAAGATACCGGCCAGCACTGTAATGGCCACAGCATCCTTCTCCTACCTGGAAAGGAGATGCCTCTTTCTGTTATACAAGGCAATTTATTCTGGTGCTTGCAAAATGAAACCACAAACGCTAAACTGAAGAATCAAGTGTTAATAACTATGACATACTAAAGTCAAATTATTGTAGACTTACTTCAAAGGCGTATAGCCAGCCAACAGAGTCGTCCATGATGTACATTTATTCAAATAACATTACAATTTCAAAATTTTTATTTTTTGTTTTTCTTATGTAGTTTCACATTGCTTCCATTTTTTAATATGGTTTTGGATCATGTCCCCACATAAACCTTTTCCCTGTCTCCACATTTTTCCTTCTGTATCGCAGAATTATTTTTTTTTGCTTTTTTTACTGCAGAGAGTGACAACGTCGCACAGGTAAAATGACACATTCATCCCAACCTGGCCAAAGCTTCAAATGCAGCCAGCAGCGCAGGGCAGGAAGAAGCACAGAAATCCGTGCCCGTGAGCTGGGGGAGTGCGGAGGCTTCGGAGCCCGAAGAGCCGGTACCGCGAACTCGCGTTCCTGGGCTCTGCTGGCGCTGAGCCGCAGCTCGGACTGCAGCGTTTGGAGCGGCTGAGGCAGCTCCCGGTCCTGTGGAACGATCCGTCCGTGACAAAGCACCGGGACGCGCGGAAGGACTCCCCGCAGGCTCCCCCGCAGCTCCTCACTCGCTCCGCTAAGCTCGTACCTTGCCTTCCTCGCGGGGCCCCCGCCTCCCTCCGGCCTCCCGCGGCGGCCGGGACGGGGCTGCGCTCCCGCCAGCGCGGCGGCCCCGCAGCCGCCTCCCGAGCTCGGTGTGCGCCGCTCTCTCTCCCCGGCTCGCCCGGCTCCCCTCGCAGCGGGGCTGAGGGCGCGGCCGGAGCCTCGCAGGGCAGCAGCGCCCGGTCCTACCGCCGCCTGAGGTCAGGGCCGGGGGCTGGCGCGACGGCCGCACCGCCCGCCCCGAGCCCCGCCCCGCTCCCGGCCCCCCGGAGCCCAGGGGCGGGGGCCGCCCGCACCACGCGGCCCGGCGCACTGTGGGCTCGTCACTGGCGGCGGCCCGCCGGGGGCTGTAGTTCTGGGCGGGAGCCGAGCGGAAGCCATCGGGGCCCTTCCTCAGCCGCCGCTCGGTGGCACGCGTGGCTGCGGCGGGAAGGAGGTGCCGGAGGGAGCGCAGCGCGGGCGGTGAGTGAGCGCTCGGCCCGGCGCGGTGCGGAGCGGCTGTGCCGGCTGAGGGCGGGCGGCGCGCTCCGTGCCCCGCGCCGTGACCCCTGCAGGTCAGCCCTCCCTGCTCTGCCCCGGGGCCGCTCCCCGCCGAGTCGCGGCGCCCCTGGGCTGTGAGGTGCGGCGGGCATGCGGCGGCTTCCCTGCGGCTGCTTGCGGTCGGGGCGCGCTGCCCCAGCGTCAGGCGGTGTCCGGGGCCGGCCCCGCGGTCCCGGGCGGACAAGGAATTCCAGTGCCTTTCTGTGTTGGCAGCTGACGGGACTCTTTTGGCGGTGGTGATGCTGTAATGTAACGCAGTGCCGCGTTTGCTCCGTGCGGACGGTGTGGGCGGCCGGGCTGCGGGGGCCGCGGTGCCCGCCGGCGGTGCCCGGTGTGACCTTCAGCGGCCCGGGGTGCCGTCACCGCGGTTCGTGTCACCGCGCCCGGGAGGCAGCGCTCGGCGGCATCTCCCTTGTTGCCCTGATTACGTATCGAGGGCAAGGAAATTTTGCCTTTTATCGACTTCACGCGATCATATTGTTACATTCCAATCAGCTGTTTAAACTGGAGTAACAATATCTGTCAGAAGATGTCATTTATTCTGTCGACCACCCTAGTGGAGAAGTGCCATGTGTAGTAGTTGGCATGCTCGTGGTTTTGTTTTTTAATGCATTCTTCAGCTGTTGCATAGGTGCCTATCTCTTGGTTATGCTTCAGTTGTTGTTGACTGATTGTGAGTCTGATGCAAATACTTAATATACTAATAAATAACTTCGTGCAACATTGCAAGGCTGCAGTTGATTTTAGGGTTGTTTTCAGATACGTGTTATTTTTCAAAAGATGTAGTTCTGAGTAAAAATAGGCAGACTTCTTTTTAATTACACTGATAACACTGAAGCTTAATTGGAAAAAAATAATACTTTCCAATACTTGAATTTTTTCAACTCTGTAGTGACAGTGTCACCTGTTAGAATTGTATCAATTTATCAAATTTCTGCATACCTGAAAATGTCATTTGAAGAGTGTTGGAAAATCAGAGACTTTTCTGATTGTGGTTTGCCTCTAAGAGTGGGCTTCCGGTATTAGTATTGTACAGTGGAAGTGCTGTCTGTCAGGGTTTGTTTTCCAAGAAGACACAAACAGAGCATTTTCACAGAGATGGCTACAAAAAAGAAGACATCCCTTTATCAGATTTGATTGCTAGCAATACTCTGGTGACTGAATCATATAGATCACTTTGGTTTATTCCAGTAAATAAAGGATTGTGACTTAAAGTGCTGAGCCCTGGCTGGGGTATATATTCAGGAACTTACACAACTTCCTTGGGTGAACTCAGCCATGCATCAGCTGAAAGCATTAGTGATTTCAGTTAAATGCTATTCAAGTTCCCATCAAGTATGCTTTATAGAGAACAAGCTTCAGTTTTAAAAGCAACTGATTATCACGTTTAAGAACACTTTCCTCAAGAGCATTTATCACATTTTATACTCTAACCAACAAATACCCAATTCATGATAGTTCTTGGTTCCTCTCTCATCCAAACATCACGTGTGTACATAATTTCTTCTGTAAAAAGAAAACCTGCAAGAAAAGATGTATACAGATAGTAATGTTTTGATTGTGCATTTACAGAAAAGAATTAGGAATTAATAAAACTTTATATGGGTCTTTAATGTAGGCAGCGTTGATAGTTTCAGATTAGGTTGGGCTTCAATTAAGCAGTCGCTATTTTTACATTGTGTGCTAAGATTGGTATAGACAACCTCCAAACATGTAGGACTTGAAAAAAAGTAAATCTTAACTGTAGTATTCAACAGTGTGCATGTATACGTAAAGCAGTCTATACATGTAGTTAACAGGTAGTGTTGCTGCTTTGGAGAATATGGACTGTTACAAATGACTGACAAGGAGAATAAGTGAGCCTGGCCTGGTGTAACGGGATAAAATAGGATGAGGGAACATTGTGGCCAGCTTCATGATCCCCTTGCTATTCATCATTCTCTAAGAGATGTTCTCCAGCTTCCCCCCTGAAGCCTTACCCCCACCCCAAATTACAAACAATCCAGGAGATGTGGAGGAGGCGTTTTCATTTTGTTTTCTTGCAGCTCCTTTCTTATACCGTACTATTTATGGTTGAAGGTCTGTTGCAGGTTTGTTTATTATTATTATACTTGTTACTAGGATTGTGTTGGCATAGTCTTTTAAATAATTTTTTTCCTTACGTGAGCCCTAAGTAGGTTTCTGTAGGGACAGTATTGACTGAAAATAACAGGTGTTAGGCATCAGCAAGTGTTAATTGTGATAGGCAAAGTTTGTGTTCACTTAGATTTGTTTCTCAGTAGATAGTTCTTTGTCCTTCATCTCATGCTGGGCGGTGTTAAGGATTTGGCCTCTGCTTCTGAGCACTAGTCCCAGGAATGTTTTGGCAGCAATTCGGTGTGCTCATGTTTGCTGTAAGAATAGCACTGTTTCATTAACCTTGAAATGCAGAATATGTTGATTGTTATTAGCTGGCTTGACAGCATTCCAATTTTAGTAATGGAAAAAGTACTGTGTTAATGACTTGATACAGTGTTTTTTTAATTGCATATTTACATAGCAGTGAAAGCTGGCATCTCAGAATAATACACACATTCAGGTGGCTCCCTTTTGGAAAATGGATGTTGTCTTCTCTCTTAATCAAGTTAGAGGCTTCTTTGTTTTCAAAATTTTGTTTGTGTTACTTGTGGCCTAATGTCTTGCATCCTGGAATTGTACAGAGCAGATCTAGTTTAGTCTTTACAAATGCTTGTGAGGAGCCAGCTGCTCTCATCAAATAGAAAACAGGAATAGCAGCATATTTATCTTTAAGTTTGGATGTTGTCAATACAGATGCCAATATTTTGGGTATGTTTTTAACTTTCTATGCACATGTTTTTCTATGGTTTTCAGTTGTAATGTAACTGTCTAGCTGTTCTCGTAATTCAGATTTGAATTAGAGTTCTCTAGTGGTAGAATGTCTTCAGAATTACACTCTGCTTTGAGATGGCATAGCTGTCTTTCTGCATCCATCCTGAATTGCTCAAAGCAGTAGTTACAAAGACAAGAACAATTTTTACTACTTTATAGTTGTTGTTTTTTTTTTCTCTAAGGCCTTACTTAGTATTGCTTTTGCAAGTTAATCTTGGCTAAGGTCTTCTGAATCACTGAAGGAAAAATTAACAAAACCTGCTGTCATGTGGTCAGGAGAACTCATTTTTATCTCTTTGCTACTAAGATCAAAGCACGTATTGAAAGATCATTGGTTTAATGGGATATGTGCCTGTTATTTTACTCTTTCTTTTTTTTTAACCTATACATAGTGATGTCTTACTGTTGAGTAGACAACTGATATATTTCTTGTAATGTTTTGAACATGTTTTTCCAGCCCTTATTTCTTTTTATGTCTATGCTTTAATTTTTGCACAATTTTCACTGGGAATTTGTCAGGTCTCTTTATAACATTGGTGAACATGTGTGGATCATGAGTGATAGCCCTCCATGCTTTTTAAAAAGCATTTTGGTATGAATGGGCTTCAGCATTGCCCTATTTTTTTTTTTTTTAGGTTTCTTTTCCATTTTCCATGCCCCAATGAGCTAGCAAGCCTTAGAGCAACCTGAATTCTGTGGGGCAGATACAGAAGGCGTGGGGCTGGTTCTCCCTTCTGCAAGAAGAGTGCTGTACGTACTCCTGGCTTGAGCTTACTGCTTGAGGCCAAGTGGGAGTTGAAATGTGAAGCACACACTTTGTGGAGTAAAATGTAATGCAGAGAGTACACAAATCCACAGATTGAGATAGATATGTATGTTTGTACATAAAATGTTGTCTGATCTTTTCATCTCTCTTGAGCCTTCCCTGAAGAAAGCCTCCCGGGAGCACCACTCCTGCATGTGGGCTGTATTCCAATGTTTGAATTCCCCTTGGTTTTTCCATGTTTGATTTAATTAAGAAAAGACTCAAACATCAATGGGAAATTGCATATGAGAAGGTGGGAGGACAAAACTAATAAGAAGTAGGTCAGTGTAGAATCAGTTTAGTAAATTGACAGTGGAAATAATCTTTATAAACAAAGATTAAAAATAAGACCTGATAAAGTTTTCTGATTTCTCTTTTGGACCTGCCTTTCTGCACGATTTACTGATTTTAATTTCTAGTCCATCTTTTTATAGCATCGTCATATATTTTAAAGCCACGTTGTAAATTTTATGGGGGTTTATTAAAACAAATTTAATTATAGTTGTAACTTGCAGAAGGAATCTGCAGTCAGGATATAGTTTTACAGCTGCAGTATAAAAGAGTGCTGGAGTCACTGTCAGGGTGGCACTGCACAGTGCATTAGCTGGTGGCATTTCTACAGAAGTTGCCCCATGGTACACAAAACTGGAGCTGTGAGAAGCATTGAAAATGGAAGCATTAACTTTTATGGTGTCTGCTTATCTAGTAAACTTCTCAA